TTTTTTTTTTTTTTTTAGCGTTGGAAGCGTGGTGGGAGCTTTGTTTTGTCACACACAAGTTGAAAATAGTTGCACTTCATTCAGCATTCGGGCTTTGCATCCTGCTTTTGTGCTCCCACCTCAGCCGGGGAGAGCCTTCATAAGAGACGTGTGGGTTTTTATTCCTGCTGCTTTACCTTTCCGTGCTGCCTCCTCCTCTGCTCAGAGCCCCAGCTCTGTACACACACCACTGATCCCAACTCAGCAGCAAAGCACCGGCTCTGGCTGGGCACGCAGCCCTGCAGCCTCCTCCTGCCTTCCCAATCCCCACTGATTTCTCCTTCTGTCCCTACCAGGCATGGGGCAGCAAAGAACGAGGACACCTCCAAGACCTCCCCGTTCCACCTCGACCTCTGGTTCTACTTCACACTGCAGAACTGGGTGCTGGACTTCGGCCGTCCCATTGCCATGGTGAGCTGGGGGTGGCAGAGCAGTGCTGGTGCATCCCCAGCCCCATAGGTTTACTTTTTCATAACACCTGTCATGTTTCTGCTGCTCATCCCCGTCCCTTTGCCTGAATGTCTTGAGCATGGGGCTCTTGCTCTCCACATAGCATGTGGCAGGAGGTTTTTTTGAGGCCTTTGCCCTAAAAATGAGGTTTTTTAGTGCTGGCACCTGAACAGAACAGCGCATTTGCACAGATCACTGCTGTTGGGTTTCTCAGTGCTTTCTCAGCACTGCAGGAATGCACAGCTGAGATTCAACCGCACTGTTCCTTTAGCTCCTGTATCCCAATGGTGCCAGAGGGATGCTCCCTGCAAGAACAGCTCCCCACTGTCATTATTAGCAGTGTGAAGCATCGCAGAGCTGGCCACCAGACCACAGGCCAGCAGCCAAAGCCCCGAACCGAGCTCTGCTCTGTTCCCATCCCAAAGCAGATGTGGGGCTGTGAGTGCTCCCAAAGCAAGGTGTGGTAATGGCGAGCTGGGCCATAGTTGTGCACTGATGCATCTTTTTCCCCCTCTCCTCAGATAATCCTGCCGCTGGAGTGGTTTCCCTTGAACAAACCAAGTGCTGGAGATTATTTCCACATGGCTTACAATGTTATAACACCATTTCTTCTGCTAAAGGTAAACCATTCTTAACGCTGCCAGCTGTAAAAGCGGGGCGAGTGGCACTTCTCCTCAGGTGAAACCACTCCCCAACCACCACTGAGCCCTCCTTGTGCAGTGCAGAAGGAACTGAGGATGCTGGCTGCTCAGGATTGAGGCAATGCCCACCTCCTTGCAGCCCACGACCACCTCCCCACCTTTCTGCGCTCTGGAAACTATTTTCACCTTTCCAGCAATTCCCCACCCACCGGCCGTAAGCCACAGATGTGGGGCTTTTGAGGTTTTTTCTCCTGCTTTGAGGCAGTTTGGTGGCTGTGAGCTCGTGGGAGTCGGGCTGCTTTCCCATCCGTGTGCCGTCAGCTGGAACAAACCCGGTCCGACCGCATTCTGCTCCCACATGGCTCAGCCTCTGACAGAAGCTCTGATCCAAGGGGAAGGCTGCAGAAGTCAGAGCCCAGGAGAAATCCCTTCGCTTGTTCCCATGCTCCCTGCATGTAAAAGCACGCCGCTTCACCCTTGAGCTCCACGTTCAGAACCAAAGCTCTTCGCCCCAAAGTTCTTTGTTAAGACAACACCCACCCAGACCTTACAGGGCAGCTGGAACTGCAGCAGGTTTCCCAAGTCGTTCAGTGCTTAATTACACTTGTTGTTCAACATTAGAGCTGTGTCTGTAGCTCAAATTCATCCAGCCACCAGATCTTGCAGCTACGTTTTCAGGTTAAGGACTGCCCTGTCACTGGGAATCTTTTCCTATGAAACACTTGGCAGTGAGGAGATACAAAAAGCAATTATAAATATATTTTAACCTTCGTTAGCCAGGAATTGAATTACGTCCTGAGATGGAAATGGTTCTCTCCTGAGTTTGGGAGTGATTGAATTCCTTTGGGGCTGGAAAGCGAAGCTCAGTCCCAGTCCTGGTGGGGCTGTGGGCACTTTCACACTCAGTGTGAGCTGTGCTGAGTGGCACAGCCAGCTTTTGGGAGCTCAGTGCTCCATAGGACACAGTTTGCTGCTGTGGTCACCCCGTGTAGCCCTAAAGGACACCTCTGCCCTTCTTCCTACACCAGATGGGAGCTCCCTGAGCCCGGGGCTCCCCTCCCCGAACCCTGTGACAGTGGCAGCGGTTAGAGAGAGGGAAAGTTAAGCCTCAGAATTAAATACAAATAAGGAGCTTTTCTGCATTCGTGCAGACGAAGGGCTGCAAAGCTGCTTTGGCAGCGCGGGGCTTGCTGGGTCCCAACACCGCCGTGTCTCCCCCTGGCGGGCTCTGAGACCTTCCCCATCCCCAGGCTATGAGGGACGACGCTTCCCTGCCCACAGCGGGTGGGCTGAAATGAAGGAGGGCTCATTCCGCTCCTCTTCAGGAGCAGAAAGAGAGGGAGGGCTCCACTTCCATCAGGAAGAAAGGAGAACAAACCACCCCGCAGAGCCCCCTGCAGACCCTCTGTACGGGGATGCGGCGCAGAGGAGCGGTGCGGGAGGTCCCTCTCACCGCTGGAGGGCACAGAAAGGCTGCTGGAAGCACGAGGGGAGGCGAGCCAGCAGCTGCTGCTTTGTGGCTGGTGAACGATGCTTTTGGTCACGTCTGGGGAAGGAATTGCGGGGTGTCCTGGTTGGGAATCGTGGCTCAGTGTGAGCGGTGACTGAGGTGTGAGTGCCCCAAAATGTGATTTATCATCCCAAAAAGGGTTGGAACGCATGCAGGGAACAGAAAGCTGCACAGGCTGCGCTTTTCTGCAGGTCCCTGCATGGCGTGGGGTGACTTTTGCAAAGCGGGAGAGGGATGAATTTGTCACAGCATGGCTTTGTCCCTCCTCACTGCTCAGTGTCTCCTTTGGCAGCTCATCGAGCGCTCCCCAAAGACGCTGCCACGATCCATGGTGTACGTCAGCATCATCACGTTCGTGATGGGCGCCAGCATCCACCTGGTGGGCGACTCCGTCAACCACCGCCTCATCTTCAGTGGCTACCAGCACCACCTGTCCGTCAGGGAGAACCCCATCATCAGGAACCTGAAGCCAGAGACGCTGGTAAAGCCACTTCTTCATATCAGGGCTTAAAAAACCATCATCATCGTCGTTGCTTGTTCTTATTCCGGAGCGTGCCGTGCCCTCTCTGCCCTTTTGAATCTGTTCCGTTGCATTGCAGATTGATTCCTTTGAGCTGCTGTATTACTACGACGAGTATTTGGGTCACTCGATGTGGTAAGCGCTTTGCAGGGTTGATCTGGAGGGCTCAGAACGATGCACTGAGAGGCAGAGCTGCTCGCTGCGCTCCGCTGCGGTGCTTGCAGGGATCTCTCCCTCCAAACGCTGCCCATTTCTGCCAGCATTTTTTGATCCCCATCACTTTGGGGATGTGCAGCCATGGGGAGCGGCAGAGCAGCACTGTTCCCCCCTCTTCTTTGCAGATTCACTGACAGTTCTGCTCCAAAAATGTAAACCCACAACCACCGCCACCCTGCTCGTTTGTTCAGATGATCACACTAACGAATGGTCACAGTGGGGGGGATGGACACCAAACAGGGCTCTGAGCCCCCAACTCACCCCAGGCTGCCTCTGCCCCCAGGTACATCCCCTTCTTCCTGATCCTCTTCATATACTTCACCGGCTGCTTCACACCCGACAAGGATGAGAGCAGGATGCCAATATCTGCACTGCTGCTGACGGGGCCGAGCAGCCTCTATTACTGGTGAGTGCCCCACTGGGGCTCTGGGGGTGCCAGGGCAGAGCTGCAGCTCCCATGCCAAGCTGGAAAATCCAGTCAAATCACCTTTGAGAGCTGGGATCACTTCAGCACTGCGTGTCCCTGTCCCAGTTTGAGGTGTTCGGTCACCCACTGTGTCGCTCCCCCCACTGGCACAGCTGTCCCAGCCCTACCTGCTGGCATCGCGTGCTTTTCCCACTCTTCTGTTCCTTAGGAATCCCAGCACAGGGTCCATACAGCTGCAGCCTGAGCTCCCACCCCCCCCGTGCTGTGGGCAGACAGATCTGCATGGCGTTGGGATTATCCTGGTGCCACTTTCCCTGGAGCACAGGGATGTACACCAACACATCCTGCAGGGCTAAATGGCCTTTTGAGAGAGGTCTTATTTATTTCCCATATTCATTAGCCTCCTCTTCCCAGACAACTTCCCTAATGGCAGCCAAACAACTTCCCATTCATTGTCAGTGACTGCGCCTGTGGCTTTGACCCCTGCTGAGGCTGTTCTCATACACTAAATTAATTTTTGATCGTCAATATCATCAGGATGATTTGGTCAGTTCCCACTTACCCTGCTGCTCTGCCTTTAAATACATCAGCCGAGACTCTGCCATTCCAAGGAAAACAATTTAAGATGCTCTGAGCACAGTTCCACCCACCAGCACGGGACCAATCCTCAGCACAGCTCCCTACAGGGAGGCATCCATGGGTGCCCCCACCCCACGGGCTCCTGAGGGCTGGTACCCAAAACAATACCTGGCTTCCAACACTCCCCATGACTTTGCTGCCTCTCTGCACTCCCCCAGATGAGTGCAGCACCCTGAGTTACACTCACGGTTCTGCGTGGTGCAGGAGAAAACAAATGGGTAACAAGCCGTGGGTAACAGTTCCTCAGGTCTCCCATGGACAGGAACCAAATCCTTCCCATTTCTCATAGACAAGAACCAAATCCTCACTATTTGCCATTGACAAGGACCAAATCCTCGCCATTTCCCATAGACACAAACAAGAGCCAGGGAAGTATGAGAGCTGCTCCCCCCCCTCCCCAGCCTTTTCCTTAAGCTTTCAGGACTCACCGCAGCCATTTCTCTGGATTTCTGGGCTGACAACAAGTTCCATGTATCCCATTTGGAGCCAAGCAGGGACAACACCAACCCAAACAGCTGCTTTAATGGGGAAAGAACATTGTAGAGTGCTTGCAATGGGCTCCTACAGTCACTACGAACCTTTTGGACAACACTGCATTGCCGGCACGTGTTTTGGGGTGCACGCTACAGGTGCTTTGCTTTGCAGGTACCTCGTGACCGAGGGGCAGATCTTCATCCTCTACATCTTCACTTTCTTCGCCATGATGGCTTTGGTGATGCACCAGAAGCGCAAAGGGCTGGTGTTGGACAGCAACGGGCTCTTCCTCTTCTACTCGTTCATCATCACCTTGGTTCTGATTGCTGTGTGGGTGGTGTGGCTGTGGAACGACAAAACCCTCAGGAAGAAATACCCCGGGGTGATTTACATCCCCGAGCCGTGGGCTTTTTACACCCTGCACATGAGCAACCTCCAGGCGGCGAAGGAGAGTTTATAGGTTTTGATATTTGGGAGCGAATCAAAGGAATAAAAAAAAAAAATAAAAATAAATAAAATAAAATCTAGTTTTTCTAATGTAGAGGTGTTTCAAATAAATCCTTTGCCCGACATTGGCTGCAAGGTGAATGCTGTCAGCCGGGGGGCTTCGCTGGGAGCCCACCTGCAATATTCAGCTGCTGGAGGTGGGGGCTGCAGGGGAGGATTGGCTGCGCTGGGGGTGGGGAGCAGCAGGGGGGGCTGCTGTGCCCGGCCCTGGTGGGGCTCTGGGCAGACTGAGCTGAGCTCACATCAGGGGGGGGGTTGGGGTCCCTTCCAACCCAACCGTTCTGTGATGCATTACCAGACGTCGATGTATTATCATCAATTGGGGTCCTGCTCTTTGGTTTATTGCTTATTCGGGACACGTTGTGATACGTTCATATGTGGGAATGATTATTTAGGGTTGAGCTGTAATGTCTGCTCGGTATTTTTATAGGAAACACTCGACCCCACAAAAAAAAAATAAAATAAAATAAAAAAAAGGAAAAAGAGGGAAAATAAAAGAGGGAAAAAGAAAAAAGAGGAGGAAAAAGAGAAGGAAAATAAAAGGGGGGGGAAAGGAGGAGGGAAAAAAAGGGAAAAAAAAAGAGGAGGAAAAAAGAAAGGAGGAAAAAAGGAAGAAAAAAGGAGGAGGAGAAAAGCGAATAAAAGAAAACAAAAGGAAAAAAAGAAAAATAAAAGGAAAAAAGGGGGGGAAAAAAGGAGGAAAAGAGAAAAAATTGAGGAAAAAGGAAGAGAAGGAAGGAAAAGAATAAAAAGGAAGAAAAAAAAAAAAAAGAGGAAGGGGGGAGAAAGAGGAAGAAAAAGGAAAAAAAGGGGAAAAAAAAAGAGGGAAAAAAAAAAAAAAAAAAAAAAAAAAAAAAAAACCCAGCGGAACCACCCGATCCCCCCCCGCCTCCCGCCCCGCTCCGGCTGTTATTTCAGCCCTTCCCCGCCCCGCCCGCCGGACTTCGGCCCTTCCGCGCCGCTCGGTGCGATCTGCGGAGCTCCGCCATGGTGAGGGGGGGGTGGAGGGGGGGCAGCGCGCTGCGCCGCGTCCCCGTAACGATGTTGAAGTTTTGGTTCTTTTCTGTTTTTCTCCTCTCCCTCCCCGCAGGCCAAGTTTCTGTCCCAGGATCAAATTAATGGTATGTATTTATGGTTGCTATTATTCCTACTTTCCAGCTGCAGACCCTCGCAGCAGAGGGTGTTGCCCCCTCCTTTTTCTCTGAGCAATCTCCCTTCCCCCCCCCTCCCCCCCCCCCCCCCCTACATCCCACGGTGTGTGCGGGGTCTGGGGGGGCCACCTTAGGCAGAAAGGCTTCAGCTGCGGTGGGAGCCGAGGGGCAAACCCGGCTGCCAGCCGTATGGGAGGAGGTGGGGAGGGGGGACGGACCAGGGACCCCCCCCCCCCGCCGCGGAAGGGGCCCCGAGGAGGGGGTTGGGGGCGGGAGCAGCGTGTGCACAGCAGTGCTGCAGAGCAATAAGAGTATTATGGCCAATCTGCTCAGCGGGATCGCGGCGGGGGGAGCCGGGGCCGCGGCCCCACCGGGACCCAATGCCTGTGGGAGGGTGGGGAGGGGGACCTCGGGGGGTTTGTGCCATGCTCCATCCCTTCCTGCTTTGCAAGCCTGCACTTTTAATTACTTTTGGCACTTTAAGAACAGAATCACAAATTCCCAGAGGTTGGAAAAAGTCTCCAAGATCCCCAACCCCAACCCAATCCACCCCAACCATGCCCACATCCCTCAGTGCTGCAGCCCTGTGGTTCTGAACAGCCCGAGGGATGGGGACCAGCCCCGCTGCCAAGGCAGCCTGTGTCAATTCATTACTTCTCTCTTGGAAAAGAAACTGTTCCTTTGTATCCAACCCAAACACCACCTAAGGCCAAAGCAGTGTTGGAAAAGATCCTCCAGGATCCCCAACCCCACCCCTATCCCTGACTTCAGTCCTCCCCTCCCTGCGCCACAGGGTAAGGAGACACCCAACACAGCCACCTGATCCCCTCCTTTGCCATCATAGAGACTTTTGGCTTTTAATTAGAGTTCAAGGAGTGCTTTTCGCTCTACGACAAGAACCACAAAGGGAAGATCAGGGCTGCAGACCTGCTGGCTGTGATGCGCTGCCTGGGGGTCAGCCCCACACCGGCTGAGGCACAGCGGCACCTGCACCTGCACAAGATCGGTGAGTCCCAAACACACATCCCAAAATCAGCCCACCAGTCCCAAACACACATCCCAAAATGAGTCTGAGAGGGAGGGCACAGGGAGCGAAGCTGGCTGATGCTAGCAGGAGACGGCTGGGGGTATTTTGTGGTTAAAACGTTGATTCTGTGGAGTTGGGAGATGATGGGAGAGGAGGAGGGGGCTGTGTGTCACTGTGCGCCCCAGGACCTGGCACATAGAGGGGGAGTTCCGAGCTGGGCAAAAGAGAACAGCTGTACATGGGCTGTGGGAACCACCAGCAGTGCTGCCCCTGTCAGACAAAAACCAGGAGGAGCCCCAAGAAGGGAGGATGGGGGATGTGGGAAGTGGTAGAACTACCCCAGAGTCCAGAGCTGAGCTTTTCTCTCCCTTCTGCCAGAGCGCAATGCAGAGCTGGACTTCTCCACCTTCCTCAACATCATGTACAGGCAGATGAAGCAGGAGGAGCCTGAGAAGGAGATCCTGACGGCGCTGGCCATGATCGATCGGGAGAAGCGAGGGCTGATCTCTGCTGCTGAGCTGAGGGCAAAGCTGACACGACTGGGGGAGAAACTGTCCGAGGAAGAGGGTATGGCAGCTTCGGAGCTCCCACTCCTTCTCTTCCCCGTCCCCCTGTCCCATGCATGCACACAGAGCACTCCCACAGCCTCATTAGCGTGTTGTTCTTAATTACACACCCATCAGCGTGGGCTCACCATGCTGCTGCCAACCCACGGCTACCACCACTCGTCCAAACAACGCAGAAGGACAGCAGTTAAAAGCACCTGATGCTGACCTGACCCCATCCCACCTCAGCTGTGCTGTAACTCAATGCGCTCTGACCCAGTGAGAACCGACCCTTTCTCCCCTCCCCACGTTACTTGAGTGTTCTGAGAATCGTTCATTATTTTTCCATCGAAGAATTAATTACACCAGCAGGACGTTCTCTTTGAGAGGAGGAGCAGAGTGCTCAGCCTGCTCACAAGAGCCATACCCAGGTCCAGTAACCGCAGACTGGACGGCACCTCCAACAGAGCCTGACCACCTCACAAACCCACGTCCCATGTTCCTTATCGTTCAAGCAGCACAGTACCACTGACCTACACCCAATACAGCCTTGTATTTCCTTTTGTTTCCTTGCAGTCGACGACCTGCTGAAAGAAGCCAAAATCGGGCCAAATGGCACAATTAAATACGAAGAGTTCACCCACACCATTTGCCTCCCCGCAGTCGATTACTGACAGCAGGAGGGGTTTGCGAGCAGCAAGACCTGCAACTTCTCTTCACTCCATCTTTCCTCGTCACCACCTGCACTCAGGAATCATCATTTGCCTTTGGGAACCCAGGGGCTGCCTTGGCTGCGCTTCCCCAGGACCCCAGAGAAGCGCTCTCTCAAAACGCGAGCTGATATTGAAATAAATGAGGTGTGACGTTCCCAAAAGCATCGTGCTTCACACCACTTCTTATCATACAGCAAACCTACAGCCACGTCCTGCTGCGCTCACACTGCCAGGCCCCGCAGCCTGACCCAGCAGCAGAGCTCCCATCCACATGCTGCCAACAGCAGTGCTGCACATAGAAGGGGTGCAGCTGGGTGCGATGCCTGCTGGCTGCAGGGGATGCTGCCAGCCTCAACGTGTGGCAGTTCTCATTCCCCCCTCCTGCAGCGTTGCACTCTGCTCAGGTGCAGCATCACACAGGTCGGCTCTGTGCTGTTCAGTTGGCCCTGCATTCAGGCAGCACCTGGGTCTGCTGCCGAGCACTGGGCTGGGCTGGAACACATTCCTGCAGGTGTCTGGCAGGGAAAACAGGCTATGGAAATCCAGCTTTCCATAATAGCAAAAAAAAAAAACACAACACCAAGCAAAAATGCATCTCTAGACTGCTCAAAGCTGAGGTGATGCAGGGCAGTCAGCGTTCATCCCACCTGCAGCATGGCAGCACAGCTGAGGACTGAGGGCAGCACACAGCAGAGCCCGAAGGCCGAGCAGGGCTGGACTCTGTGCACGCCCCCACCACCTCCTGCTGCCTCTCCCTCTTCTCATTCATTCTGCAGCAACCAACACTCCCTGCTTCATCTGTGAGACAGCCAGCAGGTAAACCCTCACAGCAAGTCAGTGCAGTGCCTTCAGGCTCTCAAAGGCACGCAGCACAGCTCCAACGCCATCACACAACCTGTGAAGTCAGGCAGGAACTCCAGCAGCACACCACTGCTTAGAAAGCAAAGCACCAGCAGGCTCTTCCAGCACCCCAGCAGCACGGCCACAGCTGCAAGGCAGCAGCAGGAATCACCCCATGCTACAGCAGCAAAGCATTCCTGCTCACAGGGACCTGGGCCACCAAAGACCCCCAGCCCCCCCAGCCCCCACCCTGCTGCGTGTGGCTGTAGGAAACACAATGTAGCTGAATGCTTTTTATTACATCTAAAGAGTTCTACATAAACAGGTAACATTCAATAGGTAAACCATTTGTTTGTTTTTTTTTTTTTCCAATGCATATAATAAATATTTTCACTTGGTACTTTTATACAAACTGACATTGGTCTACTATACATCTTTAAAAGCCATGTACTGGTTTGGCATGCCGTATGGAAACTATGAGAAAGTTTTAAGGCAATGAATGACAGATCTGAGTTAATGGTCATTTTAATATTCTGCTTATATACATTTTTTTTCCCTTTGTTAATTAAAACAATTAACAGCAGCACTTTGGGGGACCACCAGCAATTTTCCCTTGTTAGAAATCTAAGCTCTGTTAAAAAAAAGAAAGGAAAAAAACCCAAAACAGTTACACTGACAAAACAAAACCCTTTCTGAATATATTTAAAATGTGCTTCAAACCCTGAAATGTGAACCCGCAGGGAGGAATTCCCATCCCA